ACCCCCCCCCCCCCTCCCCGAACTCATTTTTTTGTAATTTTATACCCCTTTTGGCTTACGTGACTCCACGTAGTTGAGGCGTGGGGAGATGTTTGGATGCAACCTAAGCCAAAAAGGTGTACAAAATTATTTTAAAAATGGGTTCGGGGTGATAATAGGACCTAAGTTTAGTTACGGTGTGTCTCTGAAATTTCGGTTATAGTCTCGGGGGATACTTGTGTCATATGCCAATTATTTCTCTAGTAAGTTTAAAGATGCATTTATTTTTCTTATAAATGGATAAATCACTAGCTAGTTTTGTTTTTAATTTTGAAATTATATATGGTCACAGATATTTGATATATTATTGAGAACAAATTAATTATATAATTTGTATTATTATCATTGTTGATATTGCGATAAACAATCATTTGGTAGTTTTCATGTTACCTTTGTGATTTGTGAACATTTTCAAATATCAATTGTTGATGTTAATTATTTTTCTTATGAATGGATAGGTCACTAGCTAAATTTGTCTTTGATTTTGAAAGAGTAAATACATCAAATTCCCTTTCAATTTGGTGGCAAAATTTACTTTAGCACTTTAACTACACAAACATTTATTTACCCCCTAATTTTACTTCACATAAATTCAATATCACCCTAAGATTACAATATATACTAGTCTCACAATGGCAAACACATTCCACACACGTTATTTCATCGACAGATCAACACCACGTCATTAACACGTCACATCCACGATAAAAATATTTAAAATTTGAATTTTTAATTCATTTTTGTTTCTTTTTAAATATTCACAATTTTAAAAAGAAAAATAAATATAAAAAAATGAGGATTAGTCCAAAATTATAAAATAAAAAAAATCTCAAAAAAAATCAAACTTCACCCTTGAAAGATTGACCCAAGGTTCTCAAAATCATTTTCACAAAAAAAAAAACATTCAAATTTTAAAACATATGATCAAAATAAATAAAAATAACAACTAAGTTTAATTTGAGATGAAGGTATTGCAGATCTTTAATTAAAAAAATCAAGTTCATCCTAATCAACATATTAGTATTGCCATAATTAGTAATCTCAAAGAAAATTGTAGGCATTAACTTTTAGAGTCAATGTTTTTATTAGTTGATCCTTGTTAATTTTTAGTTTCTTTATTTGTTCCCTATTCATTACAACCTCCTATCATTTATTAATTGTAAAAACATACGGATGACGATGATGATATTTCAAAAAAAGAACATAGAAGGTGACAGAGTTCAAAGAAGAAATGAGTGAGAAAGATGGTGGCTGAGGGGCAACAAAATTCAAAGAAGCAAAAAAAGGGTGGGTTTAAAGAAGAAAGAGAAAGGGGGTAAGGGTGAAGAATTTCGAAGAAGGAGAAAGAAGGTAGGGGTTTAAACAAGAAGAAGGTAGTGGATGAGGGCAACGGGGATGATGGGTGTGAGGAAGAAGAATGTGAGGCGAAGGGCGGCAGGGAGTTGGAATGTGAGGAAGAAGAAAAGAAGAAGACTTATTAGCTGAAAAAGGGAGACTCGGTCATATTTCTCTATAATTTTAATTTTTAATATTTACGCGCTTTCATTAATTCTTATTGGTCACATAAGTTGTTTGGATGTATTTAAATTCAGTTCAAATAAGATTAGTGGTGTATATATATAAACACCCTTGCATTATCATTGTTGATGTTGCAATATACAATTATTTGATTGTTTATGTTACACTTTGTGAATTTATCTAAACCACACAACAAAACAAGTAGTCAAGTAAATTTGAAGGAAGAATATTGAAAACTAGTGAAACTTTTAAAACAAAGTCAATATCACGATATGGTGAAACACTTGAAATCTATAGAAAACACATCTACGAACTCTCTTACCACTCTCGTGGTCT